AGTAATAATTATTCGCGCGAAAAAAAAATTCTTAAAGCCCACCCGTGATTTTGGAGTAGCAATGTACATACGTTAATTAATTACGAACGAACATGAGTGTGGTAGGAGTATGCGGAATTATTACAATTCGATAATCAAATTAATCGAGTATATAAATATTTCGCGAATCGCGGATGCGGATGTGTTAGCGACAGAGTTAAAATTCGATAGTAAAAATGAGAATATTAATTATATAATAGTAACGCAAATTACGTAGACAAGTACCAATTGCCAAATATTATAGAAAACGCGAGAAATTCAAAAAATTCGCGCTAATCCGAGTCAGTTTTGAAGAGCCCACCGCTTTTACCTTCAACTCGACTTCATCAAAGTGAGCCTGTCTTAACAAATTAAAATTTACGCAAGAGAAAAGCCGAAATGAAATTGGAAACGCGAAATACGAAAATCGGTACACACCGCTATACTTTATCCCCCTATCCAGCGTGGAAACAGTTTTGCATCGCTTAGCTTTAAGTGAAACTTATATATCAAAGTTGGACAGACCCTCGGTAAACACACGGGACACACATTAATCTCGGCTCGTAACTCGTAATTCGAGACACAATGTATGCGCTAAGATTGAGACAACGATCGAATCGATTTTTAATGCGTCTCACAGAGCGATTGTTACATCGAGAGTTACGCCTAATGATAGATCGCTTTGAGAGAAAGGAGACAAATCACAACCGACCCCAAAGTAAAGCATTCCTGTATAAAGAAGCCAAAATCAAAATGATTTTGCTTGCAGCACGAGAAGAATTGCTAGGTAAGAAAGACTCGACGAAACGTTTTTTCGGCGACAATTAATTATATTATATTAATGTTGTTATAGCCATCGTAAGCGTAGAGCGTAAACGAAAAGGCAAAGTCTATCGACTCGTTAGAATTGTTATTATTGTTTCCAGAGAGAATACGAATGTCTTGTTTTATTTCATCTCACGCATTGTACATACGCTAAAAACATCCGCACTGTTAATTATTTATTACGGTATGTCTGTGTTATCATTATCTAAAATGTTTATAGTGAACACCCATCGCCGAATATAAATTGAGATACATCAGTCATTAAGTAATCTGTTTTTCGCAAATATTATATTTATCATTTTTTTTACTTCATTTTTTCGAAATATGTTTTTTTTTCAAACTTTATATATGTGTAGAAGAGATATTGTTGATTCGAATCTGTGCTCCGCTCTTAGTTATTAAGTTATTTTAATTAACAAATAATAAATCTATAATGATTAAGCGTCTGTAAATAAACCTATTACGATTAAGCGATCGCGGAATTTCGCTTCTCCGAAAAATGGAATATACTTCTTAATTATTGATTGTACAAAATATTATATAGCGTTGAAATCTAAAGAGACATCGTTGCGTACTGCGTGCATGTATATTAATATAATAGCTGTTATACGTGTGTACTTATGTGCCTAGCATCATGTGAGCTACTTTCCATGACTGTATATCGATATCTTCGTGATTAAATCGAGTAACGACCAAACCTACCAAAAATTTTCTCTGAATAGACCACGGTAAAGCAACATAATTTTATCTTATTAAGTTTTAGAAATTTTATAAATTATAAACGAAACTTTATTTTTTTTATTTTATATTTTTAATTAATGGTTATAAATATCTTTAATGCACAAGAATTTAGCAATAACGTGTAACTCAGAAATTTTAATCTATTTATGAAATAAACTTTTTTATTATTATTTATTTATATATATATATATATGCTAAAAATTTTTCTTCTTCTTACG